GGAGGCCAATGTCAAGTGCCCGCAGGTTGTCATATCCTTCTATGAGGAAAGGCTGACGTGGCATTCTTACCCCTCAGAGGATGATGACAAAAAAGATGATAAGAATTAACTTTCTTGAATACCAGCCCCTGTCACATCTGACTGTGGGTTTCAAGTGGGGAAAGAAGGAGTTCTACTTGTCTTGACACCATAAAGGTGGCTTGGGAAGATGTCCTTTGAAGAGCCAGTATAGTTTCTGTGCCCTACAGCAGCCCAAGTGCTTTAAAGCCGTTCCATGCTGTATAGTTTGCACACCCATCCCGGTGGAGGGGAAGGAGGGTCAGTGTTTCAAGGCAACCCGTTCTGAACTTTGCTTAAAAAAAAAAAGCAAAGGGCCTTCTATGAAGGACAAAACGCAGAATGGGATGTGGGAGAGCAAGAGATACTGTAAATCTTCAAAGAGCATCTCCACAACCCACACAGCCTTCTTCCCGATAGTGTTAACTCTGCATTTTTACAGCGTAGCATGTGTGTAGTTTTTGGCTATTACTGGTGTATTATTTGGGGTGGGTGGGGTGGGGTGGGAAAAAGGGAGATGGGTTAGGATCATTTTTGTTAAAATTTGGGGAAGTGGTAAAACAAAAGAAAGAACAACTAATGATGAAAAAAAAAAAAAAAATCTTCGAGCTTCTGATCTACATATTTTCTTCTCTGACCTACATATTTTAACCATCGTTTGGTTTTAATTTGTGTTCATGTTAGGGTCAGTGTGAACAGTGGGCCTTAGAGTTACTGCCAGGCCTAGAACCAAGGCTTCGTTAGGCTCCAAGAGAGACAAAAATAGCTTTTTGTTGCGTGTTCTAAATAGATCCACTTTTAGAAGACATTTCTCCTGGAAACCTTGGACACTGCTAGTTGACAGTCCTGGGTGTGAGGACAGTGCCTGTGAGCTTGGCATTCCTGCCCCCACTGGGACGTGGGTGTCAGAGAGAACGTGGGGTCTGCCACGCTTCTTTCAAAAAGCTCACTAGCTGGCTCAGTGGTAAAGAACCCACCTGCCAATGTAGGAAATGCAAGTTTGATCCCTTGATCGGGAAAGTCCCCTGGAGAAGGAAATGGCAACACACTATAGTAATCTTGCCTGGGAAATCCCATGGACAGGGGAGCTTGGCGGGCCACAGTCCATGGGGTCGCAAAAGAGTTGGACACGACTGAGCACTCGCTCCCTTCGCAGAGGTAAAGACACTTTGTTATTTATGCCTTCCTAGTCTGAAATAAAAATGACATTTTAAAATCAAAGCAGTTTGAACATACATCAAACAAATTGCACTCAACATGGCCTCTGAAAAGTATTTTTGGGAATGACCTAGACGCTTTTGCCCGATGAAGAAATTTTTTTTAAGTGACCTGCAGTCTTGTATGACTGGTGATATTTGTGTTGCAGTGCTATGAGCTTGATTCATCTGGCCCTTATTTGCCAAACGAGAATTTCTGAACGTTTTGAATAGTTTACGGAGATTTCTGGGTAGAATTCTGGAAACGGAAACAGGTCAAAGAGGTTTGCCTAATTGTGTTTTTTCTGATGAAAGATGTTTTAAGATTCTTTTTTCCAGCAACTGGGCTTCCCTGGTAGCTCAGACGGTAAAGCATCTGCCTGCAATGTGGGAGACCCAGGTTCGATCCCTGTGTCAGGAAGATCCCCTGGGGAAGGAAATGGCAACCCACTCCAGTACTCCTGCCTAGAAAATTTCATGGATGGAGGAGCCTGGTGGGCTACAGTCCATGGGGTTGCAAAGCATTGGACACGACTGGGTGACTTCAGTTTCACTTTCTTCCAGCAACTGCTCCCTGACAAATAAGCCTGGACACAGTTAGTGAAATAGTGTTATCTGGATTCTATAGTCATCCTCCTGCTTGCATTTGAAATGAGTCCTTTAATTCTCAGATCCAAAAGAGAGGAGGTGGTGGTGGAGTGGTTGGGAGTTTAAAGTCCTCAGAAACCTTGTCCTGGGATAAACTGGAAAGTTCGGTTCAGTGGCTTGTTCATGTCAGACTCTGCAACCCCATGGACTGCAGCACCCCAGGCTTCCCTGTCCTTCACCAACTCCCAGAGCTTGCTCAAATTCATGTCTGTTGAGTCGGTGATGCCATCCAACCATTTCATCCTCTGTCATCCCCTTCTCCTTCTGCCTTCAATCTTTTTCAGCATCAGGGTCTTTTCTAATGAGTCAGCTCTTTGTATCAGGTGGCCAAAGTACTGGAGCTTCAGCTACAGCATCAGTCCTTCCAATGAATATTAAGGATTGCTTTCCTTTAGGATGGACTGGTTTGATCTCCTTGTAGTCCAAGGGACTCTTAAGAGTGTTCTCCAACACCACAGTTCAAAAGCATCAATTCTTGAGTGCTCAGCTTTCTTTACAGTCCAGTTCTCACATCCATACATGACTACTGGAAAAACCATAGCTTTGACTGTATGGACTTTTGTCAGCAAAGTATTGCCTCTGTTTTTTAATATACTGTCTAGGTTTGTCATAGCTTTTCTTCCAAGGAGCAAGTGTCTTCTGATTTCATGGCTGCAGTCACCATCTGCAGTGATTTTGGAGCCCAAGAAAATAAAGCCTGTCACTGTTTCCATTGTTTCCCATCTGTTTGCCATAAAGTGATGGGACCTGATGCCATGATCTTAGTTTTTTGTACATGTGCTGCCGAAGCGAGCACATGATCTTAGTTTTTTGAATGTTGAGTTTTAAGCCAGCTTTTCCACTCTCCTTTTTAACTTTCATCAAGAGGCTCTTTAGTTCCTACTCACTTTCTGCCGTTAGGGTGGTGTCATCTGCATATCTGAGGTTATTGATATTTCTCCCGGCAATCTTGATTCCAGCTTGTGCTTCATCCAGCCCAGCATTTAGTATGATGTACTCTGCACATAAGCTAAACAAGCAAGGTGACAATATACAGCCTTGATGTACTCCTTTCCCAATTTTGAACCAGTCCATTGTTCCATGTCTGGCTCTAACTGTTGCTTCTTGACCTGCATACAGATTTCTCAGGAGATGGGTAAGGTGGTAAGGTATTGCCATCTCTTTAAGAATTAAAACCAGACATCTTACAGTTAATGCTTTGGAACACTTTCTCTGTGCCAGGCACTGCTCTAGGGGTCCTGCATGTATTCACTCATTTAATACAACTGTTGGGGTCACTATGAAGAAAGCAGGAGAGACTCCATCTTGAAGCCTGTCATACATCTTAGAGAAAGGATGTGAATTGGGCCTGAACTCTGCCCAAGAATGAGGAAACCATTGCTAACAAAGAAAAGGTCTCCTTCCCTCCCTATAGATGGCAAATGGAGATTGTAGTTGAAGTCTGGTTGCTCCTGTTAGATTAACCATGGAGACCTCCCCTCCCCCTTGATGTATGATCCTTGTTCTCACCCTTTAACCTTGTTTGTTCTCCTAGCACCTGCTCAATCATACACATCAAAGAGGTTGCTAATATGTAACCAGTCATTTAGCTAGAGGTATAAAACTAAGTCTCTCAGAAACATCAGGGTCCTTGTTGGGAACTGATTCCCCTTGGACCCGCCGGAGTAATAAACTGCTCTCCGCTGGCCTTCGAGATGTGTGTCCATTGGACTGTCCTGTGTGTCCTTCGAGATGTGTCTTGTGACTCCAGATTCCAAAACACAACCACGAAGAGTTTAGTGCTATTAATGTCCTTTTTTTAACAGAAGAAGCTGAGGCAGAGGAAACCCTTTCTTGAGGTCACACTGTGATCGGTGGCCCAGCAGAGTTTGATATGGGTAGTTTGACTCCAGATTTAGAAAAGAGATGAGCTTTTGCTGGGAGCTTTGCTTGAAGAACCAGATACCATGTGTGTGAATCTAGGCTCTGTCCCACACTAGCCAAGTGACCTTGGGCAAGTTACCTCAGTTTTCCTAATCTGTTAAATGGGAAGAATAAGAGATGGTCTGTATGGGGCTCCAGGCATACAGAAGTACTTAAAAATGAGCTTCTGGGACTTCCCTGGTGGTCTAATGGCTAAGACTCCATGCTCCCAATGCAGAGGGCCTGGGTTCAATCCCTGGTCAGGAAGCTAGATCCCATATGCCTCAACGAAGAGTTCATATGTTGCAACTAAAGATCCCGTGTGCCACAACTAAGATCAGGCATAGCCCAAATAAGTAAAAATATATTTTTTAAAAAAAATGAATGATAGCTGCTAACATTTCTAACCTACCCCTTGCTTTCTGCATATACCTAGATACACATACCCTTTTTTATCCTAGTTAATTTTATTCATCAGAATTCAGCCTGGTGACACCACCTTGTCCACAAGACTTCCCTGCAGGAAGAGCAGTGAGGGAGGTGAGCATAAGTTACTGAGGGCATCATGCCAGGGGAGCAGGGAGACAGGGTGAAGGGCTAAGTGTGGCTGGCTGGTGGCCCCTCTATCTGACAGCACAGAACAGATCATTTTTATAACATCAGAAAGTTCTACCTGACAGCGTTGTTCTAGGTCATGCAGAGCCTTGCAGACACAAGAGCAGAGGGTACTGGGTTCACCCAAACAGGATACTTTCTTAGAACAGTTACCCTGCCTTCCTCCCAAGAATGAAAACAGCAGTACCATCATTGCCTTTGCTTTATTGAATAAAGGAGCTCTCATCTCTGCTGAAAAGCTTCTCAATTGCTGATTCTGCATCATCAAAACAATGAATTGATCCGTTAAAGAGAAATCACCCTCTGATCATCTCATTGTGTCCCCCACAGAACACTAGCCATCCTCAGAGACAAATTGATGCCTTTGTACCCAGAGAATTAATCACATGTGATTTTTCCCGTATCTAAAATTAGGTCAAACTTGACTCATTTCATTGAAAGAAAATCACTCTTGGCTGCAAACCCCTTCTGAATGATGCTGCTGGTTGTAAGAAACACATTTTAAGCTTCATGTGGGTATCAGAGCAGTGCCCCAGCAGATGAAGAGGTCAGAACACCTGCTGACAGCTGACGCATCACACCCTAAAGCTTTGAGACCACCAGCGGGTCCCAGGCGTCAGTCTCCAGCCACTCAATGAGGATCCGATTCAACTCGGCGGGCCTGGAAAGGGAACAGAAGGCAATTCCCATTTGTCTCCACCCACTCACCTGGCTCGAGGGAAGGCAGGGGTAACAAAGTGAGTGGCTTATTGGAGGGGAACAAAGAGCCCTGATGTCCCCCACCCAGGGACCTCCATCTCCTTACTTCTCCATCTGTGTCCAGTGTCCACAATCCTTTATGTGTCCCCTTTTCAGGTGGGGAATCTGGAAGAAAACCCCACCCAGAAAAGTAAATGGCAGAAGGCACGTTTTCTGCTCCCCACAGGCCACCCCGCTGAAAATCCCACATTATTTACAAAGGAAATGACCACTGCTCAAGCTCCTACTATGTGTTAGGTGCTCTAAACACACTGCATCATTTAACCTTGACCATGATCCTCTGGGTAACTTGAAGGCTCAGAAAAGAAGCTAGGTGACTGGCCCAAAGCCATACAGAAAGTGGCTGAGCTAAGACTCAAATTCAGGCTGACCCACACTCATCACAACAGATTGCCTCCCTTCAGAACCATTAGGACTTAGTCCTTTCGCTGCCTGGAAAAGGCCAAGTCAAGCTTGGTTGACTCTTGCCCTGCAGCCATGATCTTGTCCCCTCCCCAGGCTGCCTCCCTCCCCCCTGGTGGTCTGTGTGCAGGGCTGTTCCTCCTCTCTTTGGCACCTGAACCCCCAGAGTAGGTCACAGCCCTTTCTTGACTGGTTCCGCAGTCCACAAAGGGCATCCCTTGCAGCAGCCCTTGAAACACACTCTCTCTGTTGCACGAGATGATGCTAACAAAGCCATGGCCAAGTGCAGGTGAATGCTCTCAGTACCCAGCCCTGATACCTGAGCAGTCATGGTGACCGCACTCACAGACCTCCCAGTTCCCACCAACCTCCAAGCTTTTGGCAGAGAACACTTCCAAATCATAGGTTTGACTCTTGAGAGTCTCTAGGACAGCAAAAAGATCAAACCAGTCAATCCCCGGAAATCAACCCTGAATATTCATTGAAAGGACTGGTGCTTAAGCTGTAGCTCCAATACCTTGGCCACCTGATGTGAAAAACTAGATGCTGGGGAAGATTGGAAAAGACCCTGATGCTGGGAAAGATTGAAGGCAGGAGAAGGGGACTACAGAGGATGAGATGGTTGGATGGCATCACCGACTCAATGGACATGAGGTTGAGCAAACTCTGGGAGTTGGTGATAGGGAAGCCTGACATGTCCATGAGGTCACAGAGTCGGACGCCACTTAGCAACTGAACAGCAACAACAATCATTCCACTTCACTGGTCCCCATGCCCTTAGGTCCATGCAGCTCAGCAGCTCCCAGTGGCCTCAGGGAAACCCTGATGCCTATTGGGTTCCTGCAATCCTCTGAGCTCTTTTACCTACCCTCACCTCTCAACACCCCATCTCCTCTCCCATTCTCTCTCTGCCAGCAAGCCTTAAGAGTTCCTCAAGCCCAGAAGTGGTGGTCAGCATTTCTGTGAGGCCCCTGCTCCCAGCTGTGTCCCCATCCTCCCAAGTCTCCTGGGTACCGCATTAACTTTTGACCATGAGCTCCTGCAGGGGAGACTCTGTACTTTCTTCATCTTTACCTCCCTGGTACCTAGCACTATCCCAATGCATCTCAGTGCACTGTAAAAGCCCATGAGATGAAACAGTGAAGTGAGTGATGAGAGACTGTAGCAGGGTGGTGGAAAGGAAGTCTTAATCACTACTCCCAAAAGGTGACTATCTCACTGTGGAGGAAGGCCTTATCAAGCACGTGGTTTCCCTGAACATCCCAGTCTGCATCCTCTGGGACACCTGAGCCCTATGCCAGGAAGCCCCGATGACCCCGAGCAGGACTGTTCCCTTACCCAGTCCTCCATATGCTTGGACATATCAGGAGTGAGCACAAAGTCCTTCTCCGCGGTGACCATCAGGGCCGGAATCAGGATCTGGGGGGAGATTAACAGGAAGCAGAAGTGATCTCCATGCTTGGGGTCCCCCATCATCAGGGAAAGGAAATGTTATTTTCATGCCCTGTGGCTTCCTCCACTATTGTTTAGTCGCTAAGTCATGTACGATTATTTTGTGACCCCATGGACTGTAGCCAGCCAGGCTCCTCTGTCCATGGGATTCTCCAGACAGGAAAACTGGAGGGGGTTGCCATTTCCTTCTCCAGGGATGGAACCTGAGTCTCCTGCATTGGCAGGCGGGTTCTTTACTACTGAGCCACTCTTAACTCCCTTCAAAAGACCCCTCACAGCACCACTGTGGTCTGGCTTTGTTTTCACTACATGCTTTGTGCGAAGGAGGCACCACTATTATTGAAGATCTACACTGACTGTGTAAGAGATTAGAAAATGTATTAATATATCTCGGTCTCTGCCCCTGGTGCCTGGCACAGAGCTCCTGAAGCCCTGGTAAATTCCTAAGTAGTAAGAGTGCTCAGAACATCTTTTGTTCTAATGAGGTGTCTCTGGGTGGGTTCCTGGGTGGGGGCTGGTCACCAGAAAGACAAAGCCAGGATTAGAAGCTTGGGATTTTCAGCCACCTCCCCCTCCCCCACAACATCTGGAAGGGGAGGGAGGGAGGAAGGGCTGGAAGTGGAGTTAATAATTGATTGCGCCTACATGAGGAAGTCTCCATGAACATCCACCCAACTCCAGAAGCATGGAGCTCAGAGAGCTTCTAGGCTGGTGAGATCCACACCGAAAGGGTAACACGCCACAACTCCAGGGAGACAGAGGCTCCTGTGTGTGGGACCCTCCCAGAGCTTGCCCTGTGACTCCCTTCATCTGGCTGTTCATCTGTGTCCTTTATTAAATTCTTTTATAAACTGGTTAGGGTTAGGGTTCTCCAGGGGATCTTCCCCACCCAGGGATCGAACCTGGGCCTCCTGCATTGCAGGCAGATTCTTCTCCGACTGAGCCACCAGGAAAGCCCGAATAACACTTTATAAACTGGTAAACAAAAGTGCTTCCCTGAGTTCTGTGAGCCACTGTAACAAGTTAATAGGTTCGGGGGGTGGGGTCCTGAGACCCTCCAATTTATAGTCAATCGGTTGGGAGCACAGGTGACAACCTGAATGTGGGGTCGGCAAATGAAGTCGAGGGGTCAGTCTCGTCAGACTGAGCCTTAACCTGGGAGCTCTGATACCCTCTCCAGGTAGATGGTGTCAGAACTAAGTTACATTGTAGGCCACCCAGCTCCTGTGGCAGAGAACTGCTTGATGTGGGGGAAAACCACACATTTGGTGGTAACAAGTGTCAGAAAGAAAGTGTTTTGGGGACTTCCCGGTGAGTCCAGTGGATAAGACTCTCTGCTTCCAATACAGAGGGCTCGGATTTGATCCCTGGTTGGGGAACTAGACCCCACGTGTCGCAGCTAAGACCTGGTGCAGTCAAATAAATAAACAAATGATAAGTTTTTTTTTTTAAAAGAAGAAAGTGTTTTGTGTGAAAGTAAAAGGGACAAAGAGAAGGAAAAGACTGTGTTTTTCTCAACGTGGATGGATTCGGACATGTAGTGACCACTCAGTTTCCGTGCATGTGAGTGTAAGTACATGCGTGTGGTCTGCTCCGGGGACTGATAAAATCAAATGGCACCAGGAAGGAGGAAGACGCCCTTGGATGGATGGAGATTGACATTCCTTTTCTCTGAGTTGAACAGGTGCTTCAGAAGGGCAGCCAGAGTGTGACTGTGTGACATTCGAGGCAGCAAATGACTTCATTTTTATCCAGTGATAAACGGGGCACTACCAGACAGAGAGAACCTGCCTTTATTCTTGTTCTCATGCCACCATTACAACTTCCAGACAGTGTTCATTGTCTCTGGTTAAGGAATTTGCACTACTTTTTTTTTTTTTAACCTACAATGCAGAGCTGTGTGCTTCTCACTGCTCCCCCTCCTCTGAGGGTTGAAGACCCAGGGGTGGTTTTGTGGCTAAAATGAATCCTGAGGCTGCTGTGGGGGTGTGTGGAGGGACACCCCCCACAGTGTTCCAAGTGAAAATGTGAAGGTGTAGTAGAGGTGTAGAAGGAGGTGGGAGAGAAGAGCTGGAAGGAAACCTCAGAAGAAGGGGTCCCCAACCTTAGATCCCTGGGCTTCACCTCCCTAAAGACTTCATCCTCATCCCTCACACTATGAGAGAATCTACCAATCACACTGGGGTTTTGTCCATCGCAGAGTAGAGCGATGATTGGCTCAAGAGCATTAATTAAGCCACTGGCTTCCCTGGTGGCTCAGAGGTTAAAGCGTCTGCCTGCAATATGGGAGTCCCGGGTTCGATCCCTGGGTTGGGAAGATCCCCTGGAGAAGGAAATGGCAACCCACTCCAGTATTCTTGCCTGGAGAATCCCATGGACTTAGGAGCCTGGTAGGCTACAGTCCATGGGGTCGCAGAGTTGGACACGACTTCACTTTCACATATCAAGCATTGTTCTAGCTCAGCATTTCATATGCATCAACCCACCGTATACTTACACAGCTCCTGAGGAAGGCACCACTCTTGTCATTTCCATCTTAAGCAGCCACAGGGAACAGAGTGGTTAAGTGCCTTGCCCAAGGTCACTCAAGGATTACAAGGCAGTTTCTGCCCGTCCTGTTCTTTTTTCTTTTTTTGAAGTTTATTTATTTGGCTGCCAGGTCTTAGTTGCAGTACATGGGATCTGTAGTTATGTGTGCTCAGTCGAGTCTGTCTTTCTGCAGCCCCATGAACGGCAAATTGCTAAGCTCCTCTGTTCATGGGATTCTCCAGGCAAGAATGGCGGGTTGCCATGCTCCTCCAGGGGATCTTCCAGACCCAGGGATCGAACCCAGGTCTCCTGCACTGCAGGCAGATTCTTTACCATCTGAGCCACCATGGAAGCCCAGATATTTAGTTGTGACATGCGAACTCATAGCTGCGGCATGTGGGATTTAGTTCCCTGACCAGGGATCAAAGCTGGGTGCCTGAACTGGGAGCATGGAGTCTCAGCCACTGGAACACCAGGCAAACCCCTGCCCCACCTGCTCCTAACGACTGTGTTTCATGTTCTCCTGCCTGAATACCTGATCCCAAGAGGTCGGGACCTCCCTTGTTTTATTTGTCTGGTGCCCCAAAGTCTAGTACAGTTCCTGGCACATAGAGGATGTTCATTTTCAACCAAATCAAGGAGATGGCTGGGGTTACTGAATGAGCTGGGGAATGTGAAAATGCAATTCCCCTTAGATTTTTAATGCTCTGAATGTAAACCTGGGACGCCATTACTCCGTTTGATGACCTGGAGACTGGAAACCTGTCTTCAGCTTGACAAATGAAGAAAGTGAGACTCAGACTGACTTAGTCAAGGTGACACACCCAGGGGTTAAAGTCCTATCTCTCCTGTCTTTCTGAGAGCATGTGATGCTCCTTTTGTGAGCTGGGGGCTTCAACCTAGTGACCTCGGGGGGTTGCCCTGGATCACCTGCACCCTGAGCTGGGACTCCACCGGGAGACCTGGGTGCAGTCGCCTGGCAGACCCCTGTCCTCCCGCCCCACCCTCTGCCATTCCAAGAGAAGCAGTGCACGGAGGTCCTCAGAGGAAACCCTGCAATGGAGGTCTTCCCAGAGCAGCAGGCAGCCTGTCCACCCCTAGCTCTGACCAGCCAAGTGGGATCCACAGATGCCTGGGGGGTGACTTGGGCGAGGACCACATGGGACTCACCTTCCTTCCCAAGCCTTTGCAGCCCCACTCCCAGTTCCTGTCCATGTTTCGGTACCAGTTCAGAGGCCCCCTGGGAGGGGCAGGTTGGGAAATAAAAAGAGGAAAGCTGTTAGGAGATGTTTGTGCTACAGACCCCACCAGCAACCAGCTCAGCGTAGAGCCAGTCTTCCCAGGAAGAGCCAAGATTCTGGCAGGGGGTCGAGAACACAGCCCGGGAGTCACGCCCTGGTGCCCTATACGCCTGCCAGACTTTATGGAGCACAGCCTGGTGCAGGCATGGCCCCGGACTGAGAGCTGACACTCTCTGAAACCAGCACGAGGGGACACAGAGAAGCCAGCCTCACAGGTCTCTCCACTTCCTCCCAGGGCTGTCTCAGAAGAGGATGGGGAACTTGGTTTAGTACCCCTGCCAGCCAGAGCCACTCCCCTGGCCCCAGGAAACCCACAGAAAAGGGATACGAGGAGATGCTTCCTCCTAATGGGACACCAGCGAGTGATGCCGAGGCATCTCCACCGGACTAGCAGGGTGGTCCCAGGACTGTGCCTGGAACATCCTCCCAGTCCTCAGGCACAGTAGGGGTTGGTGCTGTTGGGCCCTTGAGACTTCTCCAGTGTAAACGAGGGCCTGGAAAGACCTTGCACAAGCCATGTGTCCTTTCAGCATGCACGTTTCAGTTGTCTCCATGGACGATAGCCAGGCTCCTGTCCATGGGATTCTCCCAGCAAGAAGACTGGAGTCGGTTGCCATGCCCACTGGGCCACTAGGGAAGCCCCAAGTGTGTGTGCGTGGTGGGCTCAGCTGCGTCCGGCTCTTTAGGACCCCATGGACCATAGTCTGCCAGGCTCCTCTGTCCATAGGATTTCCCGGGCAAGAGTCCTGGAGTGGGCTTCTAATACTTCGGGGGCTTCTAAGTTTCCCTCCTGTGAGAGGAGGGGCTGGGGCAGACTGCCTCCTACGCTCCTTTCTAGAGCACATCTGTGCACCAGTCTGAGGCTCCCAAATTGCTGCCCACTTCAGGAATATGTATGCAGTTGTCAGTTTATGTGGGTTTTTGTGTTCTTCTGAAGAACTCAGAACTGTCTTCTGATCCTCACTGAGATCACGACTGAAGAAAAGCTGAAAACATGTGCTCTGAAGGGACTCCTAAGCATAAGGAAAACAAACTGAACTCTCCAAACTAGACCAGGCTGAGCATCGTCAGTAAAGAGCCTCCTGACACTGGAAGCAATCAAGCAGAGGCTAGCCAGACATTCACGGGGGCTGAGCTGGAGGATCACTGGGCTTCTCCCTGTACCGTGTGAGCAGAAGACCCTGTCTGCCCGCCTTCTCTCTCCTGCGTTCGGGGCAGTGTCCTCTTTACCTGAAACCAGACTTCTTGAACTCCTGCACGTAGAACTGGATGTCCTCCTCAGTGACCATCCTGCTGAGGGTGGGCTCCTCTGGGGCGTTCACAAGGATGCCTCCTGCAAAAAGCCACTTGTTTCTTCTCCACCATCCCCTTCCCATTGTTCTTCACCACCATCCCCTCCTCAGGGTCAAATGTCTGAGTTACAACACCTTGGTGTCTCTTGAGACCCTCCACCACTTCTCCTTGTCCTATTAGGCTCCTCTTTGCCTCCTCAAGAGACTATATGGCAGAAGTCAACACAATATTGTAAAGCAATCATCCTCCAATTAAAAATAAATAAATTAAAAAAAAAAACAGACTGGGACTCCCTGAGGGCAATGACGCGGTCCCATGGGTTTGGATACCTGCTCCTGCCTTACACCATGTGAACACTTTAAACATCTGAGGAATGAAGGAATGAATCAGTGACCCTGTGAATGAGTAGAGCGGTGAAGGGAGGGAAGGGAGAGGTGTTCCTGACCAGTGACGAGAGTTTAACCCCAGCCTGGCCACTTTGGACAAACTCTGGCACTCTTGTAAGACTCATTTTTCTCATCTGTAGAACAGAGATAATAGTGAGAGTTTTCAGGGATGTCATGAGAATTATAAACAATATATCTAAAAAGGGCTAGCCCGGTGTCTGATGCACAGAGTAGGTGCTCAAACAAGTGGTAGTGATCATCGTTATTAATACAAAATACAAGGGAATCATGGCAAAGTCACAGGCTTGGGGCCAAGCAAGGTTCTCTGGACACAGTGCTGGATCCAGGAGCTGAGGGGATGGGCATGTGGTCTGCTTCCGGCTCTGGCTCCTCGCTTGTTTACAAACTGGGAGGGAGAACAGGGGCTGTTGGACCAGAGCCTGATGGAGGGGAGGCCAGGGAATTGTGACAGAAGTGACGTGGCTGGGGTCTGGCCTGATTTCCTCCCTAGCTTCATCAGGTGACTGTGCAGAGGTCAGGTTCTATCCTGGGTCTCTGTCCTAATCAGTAGAGGATGCCTTGATGAGCTCTGAGAGTTCTCTAAGCTCTTGGCTCTAAAACTCTGTGGGTGAAAGGAAGCCAGGGCCTCATCGTCACCCCGGGTCAGGGTAAATGTGATTCACCAGCAGAGGCTCTATGTTAAGCATGTTCAGAGTTCAGACTGGCAAATGATTGCTTCTGCCCACAGCCGGCAGATGGAGAAACAAACATTTAACGTTCAGCTGGTTCCTGCCACGGCCCCTCCTGTCTCCCTTCCCTCCTGAGAATGTCTCTTACCCATTTCACAGACTCTGCTTACGGTGACAACATTCTGGAGGGAGAAAAGTTAGAAATGATGTCATGGGTCAAGCAAAGGAAATGCGTATGAACAGGGCATCTAAAAGCCCTGTAAGTGCCAGCAGACCATACAAATATTCTAAACGCCCAGAAGAACTAGGCGGGTCCTGAGTGGTCAGAATAGAGACAGCTCCCACCAAGCTCCAGGTTATAGCTGCTCCTGGGTGCTTGCAGGTCTTGGCAACATAAAAACCTGGGTGTATCAACCAATAGGAACAAGAGATTAGGCCTTAGGTCTATGGCAGATGGGAAGTTAAAAATGAGATTGTCCCCACCATCCACAGTGAATTGAGTCAATCTGAGGTCATGAGTTAAAGGGTGGACTAGGAAAAACCCTGGAGAAGGAAATGGCAACCCACTCCAGTCTTCTTGCCTAGAGAATCCCGTGGTCAGAGGAGCCTGGTGGGCTGCCGTCTATGGGGTCGCACAGAGTCGGACACAACTGAAGCGACTTAGCAGCAGCAGCAGGAAAAACCCACCCACCATGATAGAGAGAAATCAAGGGAGCTGTCTGTTCTGTTTGATACTAAGAAGACTCTAAAAACACTTCCTTAGGAATTCACAGCTACAAGTCTGCTTTTGCATGTATTTGAGTTTGAATCCACACTGTGAGATCTGGAAAGCCCCAGTAAGTGAAGTAAAACACAACAGTAGCGAAAGGGAGCTTGGGCTGGTAAATTCTACCAGGAGGCCTGGCATGAGCAGTAAATGCTGAACCACCCAGGAAGGGCACTCCCTCCATTCCATCTGAAGCAAGTTGGAGCAGATTAAGTACTACTGAAGATGATCTCGCAAACCAAAATTACAGAACTCTCTCCCCTACCCCCACATACACACCAAGGCCCCACTGTGAGAGAGAGCAAGCCAAGCAAACAGCAAACAAGACTCTTCAAGAATACTAAATAACAGAACCTGAACAGAGAGAGAATAAAAAATAAGTATGCTTAAAATGATTAATGTGGCTTCCCTGGTGGCTCAGATGGTAAAGAATTTGCCTGCAGTGCAGAAGACCCAAGTTCAATCCCTGGGTGGGGAAGATCCCTTGGAGAAGGGAATGGCAACCCACTCTAGTATTCTTGCCTGGAGAATTCCATGGACAGACGATGGGGTCACATGGAGTCAGACTAAGATAGAAGAAGGAACTGAACAACAAGACTAGAGCCAAGACTCTACAGACAGAGATCTGAATGCTTTGAAAAATAATAAAATACAACTTTCAAAAATTAAGAAAAAACAAAAAACTGTTCATTGAAATTAAAATTAAAACCTCAAAGATGGGTTAAACTGTGGATCAGACATGACTGAAAGACAAATAATACACCAGAAGGTAGACTTGAGACTGATTTCTTACAAACAGTGATAGAAGTTTCTAGAAGAAAATAATTGTCAACCTAGAATGCTCTGATAAACTGTTCCTCAGGCCTAAAAGCAAAATAAACATATTTTCTAGGCCAAAAAAGGATGAGTTTATTCCTAACAAACTCTTATTGAAAAAACTACAAAAGAAGGTACTTCAGGAAGAAAGAAATTGAACTGAATATAAAACAGTGAGGTGCAAGAAGTACTCAGCAAAGAAAGTGGCAGAAATCGGGACATCAGAGCAGGCACTGAACAGACAAAGCAACAGTGACTCCTAACACATAAGACAGGACAGCGGGATTACCACGATAAAGCAGTCTAGGCTCTTGCATTGTTCCAGAAAAGAGTTAGAAGCATCAGCTCATTCTGTACCTTCATAAGCAATTATGCAGATGAAAATGATAATGGTAATAATTTCTTAACTGTCACCATTATGATCGGTTCAGCTCAGTTCAGTTACTCAGTCGTGTCCGACTCTGCAACGCTGTGGACTGCAGCACGCTAGGCTTCCCTGTCTGACCAACTCCTGGAGCTTGCTCAAACTCCTGTCCATGGAGTCAGTGATGCCATCCAACCATCTCATCTCTCTATATATGTTTCAAAGCCTTCCTGGTGTGTTTCAGTCAGGACAAGACCTTTCCCCATTATAATGAAGCGACCAGTGGGAGTGAGGACCCCAATCACCCTGACCACAGAAGTCAAAGAAAAGAAGGCCAGCTGCTAACTGCCAGACCCTGACACCCCCATCCTCCCGTCCCTGCGTCCTCCCACGGGAGGCATCTGGGGACCTGCACCCCTGCAGCTCCCACTTTCTGCTGAAAACCTACCCCACACTCCTTACCTCATCGTTTGATCTGAAGAAAATTTTGAAAGTCCGATTCAGGTTCTTTTCCAGTTCAGCTTCAGCCACTCCCTAAAACAACCAAGAAAGCAAAATGAAAGATGCGGCAGAGATCTCGGAAACCTATCTGACCCAAAGCAAGAAGCCTGTGACCTCTGTCCCATCCAGCCCAAAATTCATCAGAAGGGCATGATTTTGAATTTTCATATTGAAAAACACTTTTTTTTTAAAAGCTTCAAATAAAATACGAGATGCTGACAGTGGTCCCCTCCACCCACCCTGAACCTGGGAGGTAGGTTTATGCCTATCACTTTCTTTTCTCTTTTTCTAAATTTTTACAATGAGAATGTAATACTTATAATGTAATCATTTTATTATTATAGGCTGGGGCAGGAATGAAGTGTTGGGGGCTGAAGGGTGGTGAGGGGAAGAGGAGGGTTCCGAGGAGGCCTAGAAGCCAAATGCGGCCATCCACGGGTCTTGAATTGCCATGGTAACACCAAAACCAACTCCTTTGACTTGGACCCAGATTGTCTTCCCAAGAACAGGACAGTAAGTTGTCTTTGGTTAAGGAGCTGCGATGCATATTATTTGTACTCCCAGTTCTTCCCGCCACACGCGAGCTCAAGTTGGTACATTGGACTCTTTCATCCATATCTGGTTCTTTGGTCATTTCCAGGCCAAACCAAACCCTGTACCAAACCCTGCCTTCTCCTTGAAGCCCCACCTCCCTCATCACAATAAAATAGCTCTGCTCTTCCTGGACCCTACAGGGTCTTTCGTGTGCTCTCCGTGGTCCACCCTGAGAAAGCAGGAAAACATCCACTCCGGGGGCATCTGTGACTGGTCCTAGATGGACCAGAAGCTGGATGTAGTGAAAGCTTTATTCCTCTCCTGCAAGTAACATTCCCAGACAGTGTTACCGAAAGGTGGGTGTGGGGTCTGGCTGCTTGCTGCTCAAAAGCCAATAAACAGGCCAGGTTGGTGGAAAGGAAAGTTTGCTTCATTTCAGATGTTGATAACTAGAGGGGGAGTGTGGCAGATGTCTGTCCAAAGGCTGACTCCCCCACCCCCACTGGCAACCAGTGGGCAAGAGCCTTTATAGACACAAGGTGGGGGAACTACATGCAGAAAAGCACAGTCATCTCTGACAGTCAACTTTCAAATTGGTTACAGGTGGTCCAACCAGCATCATCTTGATTATTTTAGGTACAGTCAGTCTTCAGTTCAAGGGTCCATTTGTTTCCATTTCTCTGAGCTCAGGTCTTGGAATTGTGGCAACTTATGTCATGGCTATAGTTTGGTTATCATGTAGTTAACATCTTCTACCTGGGATTTCAGTATCTGTAAGACAACGGAGATGACTCAGAATATTATCTGCAGCCCTTGAGAAAGAACTAAAGGTCCTCAACTGTGTTTAATGATCACATTACTGTTATTTGGTTTCCTTTGACTCTTTTCCTTTGCTTTAACTGTTTCTCATTTGTCTGATGAAACTTATTCTCTGACTACAGTTTTCCACAGACAAAAGGCTGGCAGACCATATGGGTGGGGTTGGGGCAAGGACCCTAGTAGGGTCCTGCTCTGTTTTAAGAGGAGGGTCCTGTAAGCCTGGCTGGCAAAGTGTGCCGGTGGCCCTCGGACCCTGCACACTTTAAGAGGCCCTGCTACTCTGCGCTTGTTTATTGTGTAGGTTGCACATCACGAGAGCTCTGGATTTACGAGAGCGGCACTGCAGGCAACGAAACATTTATCATCCAGCAGCGCTGCATCGGCAGTTTGAGGTTTTCTGATGAAAGCAATGTTGGCATGTTCATCACAATCCCTTGACAAGCATGAGATTCCATCACGATGGAGAATCAATCGTGGCCTTCAGTGACGTGATGAATGTCGAGGCCAGAAATAGCCATGGAAGGCAGTGCATTTTATGTGCTCAATAAAGGCCCCGCATGTTACCACAGGTCATCACTCTTCTTCTTCTTCTTTTTTTCCTTTTTATTGGTTTCTTTGCTTTCTTATTTATTTATTTTATTTTTGACTGTGCTGGGTCTTCACTGCTGCTCAGGCTTTTCTCTAGCTGCGACAAGCCCCCAGAAGCTACTCTCCACAGCAGTGCGTACGCTTCTCCTTGTGGTGGCTTCTCTTGTGGAGGACAGGCTCTAGGGCTCCCGAGCATCCGTATTTGCAGCATGTGGGTGCAGTAGTTGCTGCTCCCAGCCTCTAAAGTACTGGGTCAGTAGTTGTGGCCCACTGGCTTAGCTGCCCTGCAGCATGTGGGATCTTCCTGGATCAGGGATCGAACCTGTGTCTCCTGCATTGGCAAGTGGATTCTTTACCACTGAGCCACCAGGGAAGCCCCATCATTCTTATTTATTGTGAGCAGCCCCCATCTGGGAAACAGCTTGGTGTTCATGAGCTTCGGACAGTCTCAGCATGTGCAGGAATCGCCACGGGGTCAGAGGTCTGGACAGGCTGCAGAGCTCAAACAGTCCGTAAAAGAGCAAATTCAAAAGGGTCAACCAGAAAATCAAAGAGAACACAAAGGTAAATAAGTCTGTCCACCCACGTGAAAGCATATCAGATCAGCAGGGGTGATGAGGACAAAGGTGAGGGCCAGAGGGGGGAGATCAGAGCATCTGTACGCTGGTGGTGTGCCCTGTTGATATTCTCGGGCTCTCTGTAATATATAAAAGGTGATAGATGCTCTATTTTTAAGTCCCACAGACCAATGACAAGCCTCCTGTCAGTCCACTGGATGGGGCTCCTCCCTTTGTGCTCCTGATCAGAGGAATTAAAGGATGAACTTTGGAATCCAACAAACAAGGTTTCAAGCCCCACTGAAAGGTTAATCACCCAGTTGGGTCCAACTCTTTGCAACCCCATGGACTATAGCTTGCCACGCTCCTCTGTCTGTGGAGTTCTCCAGGCAAGAATACTGGAGTGGGTTGCCATTCCCTTTTCCAGTGGATCTTCCCAATCCAGGGATCGAATTTGGGTCTCCTGCATTGCAGGCAGATTCTTAACTGAGCCACCAGAGCAGCCCCACTACTCCTCCTTATTAACTGGGCAACTTAATCTTTCAGAGCCTCAGTTTCCTCATCTGCAAAATGGGAGTTTTATAAGGATAATAGGAGATAATGCCCATTTCGGATCATGCCTGGTACAGTATACATAGGAGAGATGACAATAAATGGTGATTATTGTTGTTATTATTACCTCCATAGTTAAAAGTGACTTGGATTTTCTTTTGCTCCATTTTCAAGGGCTTTTCCCTTTCTTTGTCTTTTAGCCATCACCATTTTGGACTCCTTTTTCCTATTCTAACTACCTAGCAGTTAAAAGTTATTTGATTGCATGAGAATTGTATAGTTTGGGATCTGTTCCCCTCACAAGCCTGGGGATTTCTTAGGGACACACACTGTATCTTATTTATATTTTTATTCCCACTGTGATAGCCTGGGTAATAAATACATCCCAACAAAGGCCAGATGGATGAGAAGGAGAGAGGAGAAAAAAGGAAAGAATGTGAGATAAAGACTTTGGTGGGGTTGTCTTAAACCCACAGCAAGCATCACCCTCAATGGTGAAAAACTGAAAGCATTTCCCCTGAAATCAGGAACAAGACAAGGGTGCCCACTCTCACCACTACTATTCAACATAGTTTTGGAAGTTTTGGCCACAGCAATCAGAGCAGAAAAAGAAGTAAAAGGAATCCAGATAGGAAAAGAAGAAGTGAAACTCTCGCTGTTTGCAGATGACATGATCCTCTACATAGAAAATCCTAAAGACTCTACCAGAAAATTACTAGAGATAATCAACGAATACAGTAAAGTTGCAGGATATAAAATTAACACACAGAAATCTCTTGCATTCCTATACACTAACAATGAGAAAACAGAAAGAGAAATTAAGGAAACAATACCATTCACCATTGCAACAAAAAGAATAAAATACTTAGGAGTATATCTACCTAAAGAAACAAAACACCTATACATAGAAAACTATAAAACACTGATGAAAGAAATCAAAGAGGACACAAACAGATGGAGAAATATACCATGTTCATGGATTGGAAGAATCAATATTGTCAAAATGGCTATACTACCCAAAGCAATCTACAGATTCAATGCAATCCCTATCAAACTACCAACGGTATTTTTCACAGAACTAGAACGAATAATTTCACAATTTGTATGGAAATACAAAAAACCTCGAATAGCCAAAGTAATCCTGAGAAAGAAGAATGGAACTGGAGGAATCAATCTGCCTGACTTCAGACTATACTACAAAGCCACAGTCATCAAGACAGTATGGTACTGGCACAAAGACAGAAATATAGATCAATGGAACAGAATAGAAAGCCCAGAGATAAATCCACGAACCTATGGTCACCTTATCTTTGACAAAGGAGGCAAGGATATACAATGGAAAAAAGACAACCTCTTTAACAAGTGGTGCTGGGAAAACTGGTCAACCACCTGTAAAAGAATGAAACTAGAACACTTTCTAACACCATACACAAAAATAAACTCAAGATGGATTAAAGATCTAAATGTAAGACCAGAAACTATAAAACTCCTAGAGGAGAACATAGGCAAAACACTCTCCGACATAAATCACAGCAGGATCCTCTATGACCCACATCCCAGAATTTTAGAAATAAAAGCAAAAATAAACAAATGGGACCTAATGAAACTTAAAAGCTTTTGCACAACAAAGGAAACTATAAGCAAGGTGAAAAGACAGCCCTCAGATTGGGAGAAAATAATAGCAAACGAAGCTATTAATCTCCAAAATATACAAGCAACTCCTCCAGCTCAACTCCAGAAAAATAAATGACCCAATCAAAAAATGGGCCAAAGAACTGAACAGACATTTCTCCAAGGAAGACATACAGATGGCTAACAAACACATGAAAAGATGCTCAACATCACTCATTATCAGAGAAATGCAAATCAAAACCACAATGAGATACCATTACACACCAGTCAGGATGGCTGCTATCCAAAAGTCTACAAGCAATAAATGCTGGAGAGGGTGTGGAGAAAAGGGAACCCTCTTACACTGTTGGT